GACATGACGGTAGAATTAACCCCACCGGCTTCGATGAAACAAGGCTCGGCAGGCCGGTCATGAGGAAATATCACATAAAACGGGGAACTGTATGTATGAAAATTCTTGTACTTTTTCGAGACATTGTTAGCACTAACTGTGGAAAACACCATGGCATAGTGCTGGAGAATTTCTATAGAATATGGAAAAGTTTTCACGTATGTAAAAACCATTATAGTTGTTTTTCCAATGTTAAAATCCAAACTTGTTTCCATCGCCAGAAATTGTACGGTGCATTGCAGGGCCAAACCATATGGCATTTGCCACCACATGTAAGTAGTGGTCAGCTTTAATTGCGGCTGTGATATTTCCCCCAGATTCTGATGTTCACAAGCAATGTTTGTTCGGAATACTTTGACAAGGAATCTGCAAAAGAAGGAATCTTCATCCTCCGGTGCTGGAACCGTAACTCTCCCTCGTCAAACTATACGATTATAGAAGCTTGAATAATTATAACATTATAATTATTTATTACATATTGAAAATAGTCCACGAAATCATTTCCCTTGTGTGAGAAGATTTTATCATACTACTTGTATGATATGTATGGTTGCCTTTATGTTCATATTTATTGGGACAAGTTTTTGGGTATAATCATTTATATTTAATCTATTGATCGACTAATCCGGATCAGGTGCTGCAAAGATAAGGACGACCTTTTCAATCTAGTTTGTTTCATTCGGATCTGTAAAGATAAGGACGACCTTTTCAATCTAGTTTATTTCATTCGGAATCGTTATGATTCAAAACCTTAAGTTTTTCAAAAACTTATTTGGCTACTAATTTCCAGTTTAATTTATTTATTTCTCATATGAATGCTCATATTTCTAGAAAGTATGACCATTAAGGTTGACTCATATAAGCTTCCATAGTCTAAAGCCAAGCAGTAGACCAGTTGTTAACTGGAAAAAATATCTATCATGCTTTTGGAAAATACAAGAGATGACCCTCAAAGTCTGCATTAATTCCGGAATAAAAGGGCAATATATAATAACACCTAATTATTGTGATTTTATAGGTTTAAAGTATTGAATAGGTTTGATCCAAAAATAAATTTTCAAAATATTATTTTTATAATATTAACTATATTTTAATTGGCACGAACCAAACAACCTCAGTGATAAATGCATTATTGTTATTCCTTGAAGTCTCATGTTCGAGCACTGGGAATATCAAAGGTGTGAGTCTTCAATTGCCAAATGGCTGAAAGTTATAGGTGTGAGTCTTCAATTGTCAAATGGTTGAAAGTTATCTTTGAACATATATTGTCTCGTATTTACCCAGATTAATAAAAAAACTATTTTTTATTTAGCGAACCGTTCATGAACCGTGCGATGGTAAGTTCGTTTATGTTCTTTTATTTATTATATGAACGAACATGAACAATATTTTGCGTTCGTTTAATTAAATGAACGAACATAAACAAAGGGTTCGTTTGTTCATTTACGTTCGTGAACGTTCGATTATATGTTCGTTTATGTTCGTTCATTTATGTTCATTTATGTTCGAACAGAGGGCAAGTTGAATATGTTATGAATATTATTGAAGTTGTTTGGATTTCAAGAAGATTGTTTTGTTGAACAAATTAACTGTAAGACTTTATTATGTTCATATAGCCTATTTATGATTTATGTATGTTTTTGTCGTATTCGAACAAATTAACTCTAAAGTTGCAGGTTATATTAATGAATTTTAAGTTGTTATTCTTGTTGTTTACTTTTTTTTACATTCGTTTGTTGTGTTCGAATAAGTTTTTTTTTGTGTTTGTGTTGTTCGTTTATGTTCGTTTATTGTGTTCGTTTATGTTCGTTCGTTCGTGTTTGTTTATGTTCGTTTATTATTTAAATGAACGAACATAAACAAGCTATATTCCTTAATGAACGAACATGAACAAAAAAAAAATTGTTCGTTCATGTTCGTGTTCGTTTATTTATTAAATGAACGAAAATGAACATACATACGTTCGTATGCGTTCGGTTCGTTTACAGGCCTAAACGTATCGTATCAGTATTATGTTATCCTCAATAACAATTATTAACGATGAGTATTGATTTATTATAAACTATTAACGTCAGTGACCGAGTTATTACTTTTAAAAAATCAATGATAAAAGAAAAACTTACTTAAACATCATTAACCATTTATGTGATTTATTAACTAGTTCTGTTTTACTTTATAAAATTATATTTTTGTTTATTTATAAGAAAAAAGTCACATTTTTACTTATTTAGACGTGCCTCAATTTATTTATTTCCGTCTATTTTTCATATTTTTCTTATGTTTTTAGCTCATCTGACTGCTACAATGGTGGAAGGAAGTATTATTTTATTTAAAGGTCTTAAATTCAAATAATTACGTTTGTATGGTGTATTTATGTTATCAATGACTAAAATAATATGAACAAATACTACCTTAAATCACTCGTAATTATTTAAAAGGTTTAATACTAAAATAAGTGCCTAAACTATATTATTATTCTCAAATAGGTACCTAAATTATTTTTTTGACTCATCCATATACCTAATGTTACAAACGTTATCTATTTAGGTGTTTTGACTTTAACGGCCGTTATAAAACTCCGTTAAGTAACAAGTATCACAATCTTAGAATTTTAAATTTTTTATTTTCTTAGAAAATAAAATATTATTAAAAAAACCCAAACCTTTCCCCATACATTCCCCCTCTTCCCTCTCCTGCCCCCCTCTCCTTGCTCTCTCCATCAATGACCAAACGACCAAAAGCCAAACGATAGATTATACGATCGACCAAATGGTTGGCTGTTATAGTCGATGAAACGGTCGATTATCGCGATCGAATTTGAAAGATTGAGTATTTGAAATTTTATGGATTAGAAATTTAAATTTAGGGTTTTGAGATGATATTAAGAGTTGTGAGTTGTGACTGGTCATTGGGTGGTTAGCAACGTATGGATGACTGGTTGTCAACGAATGAGTTCATGTCACTGTCGTCACACGATTTTCTTCTTCCAATACAGCTGCTACATTGACCCTGACGCCCAGTAAATTTATATAAATAATACAAGTATTTCAATTATTTAAGTAAATGGTATTTAAAATTAATTCATTATAAAAATAACATATATTATGCTTGTTCTACTTGATGTATTTTTATCCCATGTAATAAAATTTCGGGAGAAAGAAAAGGCATGTACTAATGTTGATCAATGATCATGATAAAATAAATAAGATAATATAATGACCTAAAATAGGATACATTCTAGATTTTGAGTGAGTACGACGAAACTCGATCAAATATTAAAAGTTATAAGAGTAAAGACTTACAAGTTAATACCTATAAGTTCATAAGAGATTGGCATGGTTATGTTTGTGAATCTCGTAAAATATAAGAGAGTAGATGTTTATCCCTAAGCTTTGTAAGCTTAGCGTTTGAATTGTTTTTGTTAGGTTATATCATAGATCACGATAGGACGACGATATCATGAAATGAGTCTTGTTGTAGTGGTTAATATTTTGATTGAGTCATATTGTAATGGTTATTTTTGTATTTGATGTTTTCCTTTTCGAATAAAGTAACTTTGATTTTGTGGTTTTTTATTATTATTTTTAATTTTTTTTTAAAAACATGGTTTCTAGAGTTGTAAAGTTTAGGGTCACTTTGGTGATTGAATGTGGTACTCATAAAATCAATGATAAATTAAAATCAAATTTAGGATGTTACAAGAACTGTTTGGTGGTCGTTTTGACTAGAGAAACGATCAAATGATAATATAAATAATGATGAAATGCGCTAGTTTATATATTTCTTTATATTGCTTTGAGAGAGTCGAAATTGAGAAAACGATAAAGGATAAAAAAGATTCATTTTGCGATGACGATAATAAGAGAAAGTCGTCAAAGAGACAACGATAATGGCCACCTTGTTGAGGATCAATGAAGAGAGGGAACAAAATGAGAAGAAAACAAAGGAGAACATGTTGTAGATAAAAAAGAAAGATAATGAAAATTTATGGCTTGACTCAAGTGTTTGATGAGTTATTTCGAGTTGCGACTAACTGATAGAATATATAAAGTTTAGAGACTAAAAATGTTATTATTCTATGACTCATCACCAATTTCATTAAAATTTAATAGAAAATTAACATCTAAAAAACAAAGTATTAGTGACGAAATTTGTAGAAAAAATAGTTTGGTTACTAAAATAGGTAAAATGTGATGTTTTGGTGACTAAAATAGGAGACAGTGATAGTTTGTTTTCCAATAGTGTAATTTATATTATTATTTAGAACAAACTACATCCATGAATATTTAACTATTTAAATGATATTAATCAAATTATATATCATTAATATTAATTAAATAAATTGATGTGATAATTAATAAAGTTTATATAATTATTCATTTGGACTTAACTACTTATATATATTCTATTAATTTGATCATAATTTTAATTTAACTCAATAAATCTTATATTTTAGTCAATTTTCCTTTTCAACGCGAGATCAATATACCTCACATTTGTTTTGGATGTTCTCACAGTTCCAAGGTTTTACCTTAACTAGTCTAGATCGACATGCGTCGCACGCTTAACTTTGGTGAATGAGTCTTCTAACAAAGATTTTCTGCATACATAAAAACTCGAACTCGAAACATTACTTAAGTGATATCAAACTACTTACTATTTGAAATAACTTTATCGATTATACCTCACCATTTTAAGATATAATATTCTTCCCTACTTAATTTCATACTATCATTCTGCCTATCTACTCATTAGGACATTTGATTTGAAATTAGGCTATGGTTGCTTAAAATTAAATATATAATTATATAGATTTTGTTATTATGACGTTAATTAATTTGATTAATAAAGATTAATGGTTAAATTAAAATACATTCATAATCGGTGAGGATAGGTATACTTTTCTCTAAAATAAAAATGCTCCACTAATTTTAACTTTTTCCTACAGAAAAAAGCTTTAAAGGTTTACATATCTGTGCTTTATAAAGCACAAAATAGCCTCCTTCCTTGTACACTGCCACTTCCACACCTCCACCACTGTCACTAGCGGCGCCCCTCCCCCAACAAAATGTCGTCAACAGAGTCCCTCATCCTCCAACTCCATGAAATCTCCGCCGTCAAATTCGGCAACTTCAAGCTGAAATCCGGCATCTTTTCCCCTATCTACATAGACCTCCGCCTCATCGTTTCTTACCCTTCCCTCCTCCGCCAAATCTCCCACTCCCTCCTGTCATCACTCCCTCCCCAAACGCCCTTTAACCTCATCTGTGGCGTCCCTTACACCGCCCTCCCCATGGCCACATCTATCTCACTCGACACCTCCATCCCCATGCTCATGCGCCGCAAAGAAGTCAAAGATTACGGCACTGCCAAGTCCATCGAAGGCGTTTACGAGAAGGGCCAGGTTTGTCTGGTGGTGGAAGACCTTGTAACGTCCGGAGCATCGGTGCTCGAAACGGTGGCGCCTCTTCGATCGTTGGGTATCGACGTGACGGACGCCGTCGTGGTCATTGATAGAGAGCAAGGCGGAAGGGAAACGTTGGAGCAGAATGGAATTAAACTTCATGCTCTTTTTACTTTGACGGAGATGGTGAAGGTTTTGAGAGCGAAAGGGAGATTGGAGGAAGAGATGGAAAGTTTGGTCATGAAATTCTTGAAGGAGAACAAGAAAGTTCCTGTACCTAAGGTTGAGAAAGCGAGGGTTAAGTGTTTGGGGTTTGACGAAAGGGCTAATTTGGCTAAGAATCCTACTGGGAAAAACTTGTTTGAGATTATGATTAAGAAAGAGAGTAATCTCTGTTTGGCTGCTGATGTTTCCACTGCTGCTGAATTACTTGATATTGCTGAGAAGGTAAGCTTGAGATTAGTTTGTTTGTGGATTGGTTTTTATTTGTCTGGCGAATTTCGAAATTTTCTAGGGAAAGTGATCGAAGATAGATTTTCTGCTATGTGATGCCTTTTCTCTTGATAAAGTTGTGATTTTTCTTGGAGTGATCGGAAATGGTTTTTCCATATTAGTTTTTCCTAGGAAAGTGGAAAACTTTTCTCGGGAAAGTGATGGAAATGTTTAATTTGATTGCTTTGCGATTTGGATACATACTGTATTAGGATACTTTTGATTTCATCAAGGATACAGAGCATGGTATATGCTTGGTAACGTAGGCTGCATAGTTTCAATGACATCGTATATATAAATAACGTAGGATACATATTGAATGATTTGCGTATGATAAACCTTTCTGGTTTGCAGGTTGGACCTGAAATCTGCCTGTTGAAGACTCATGTTGACATATTTCCTGATTTCACTCCTGACTTTGGGTCTAAACTTCGTGCGGTATATATCACTTGCTTATGTTAAATGTCTTATTATGCCTACATTTCCCGAGCTATGGCTGTTCTTTGAATTCTTTTTGGTTGATAAGTTAATGATAAGTTGAGCTAACAATGCTTTTGCTCTGTATTCAACTGCAGATTGCAGAAAAATATAACTTTATGATATTCGAAGACCGTAAGTTTGCGGACATTGGCAATACAGTGACAATGCAGTATGAAGGGTAATAATCGGTTTCTGCTGAACAGTTGTTCCTTTTGTATTTGCTTCCTTTGTTATACCTAAGTGCTCTCGGGGTGTTTTTTCTTGCAGGGGTATCTTTAAAATTTTGGAGTGGGCTGATATTGTTAATGCTCACATTATCTCCGGTCCTGGAATTGTGGATGGTTTGAAATTGAAGGTTTATTATAATTACCCGATATTGCTTTTAGCTAGATTCCAAACAAGGATTTAAAACTAATGTTTCTCATAATTTTATTTTCTTGGAACTATTTTAGGGTTTGCCCCGTGGTAGGGGGCTGTTGCTACTCGCCGAAATGAGCTCTGCTGGTAACCTTGCCACCGGAGACTACACAGCTGCTGCCGTAAAAATTGCTGAACAGCACTCCGATTTTGTCATTGGTTTCATCTCGGTCAACCCTGCATCATGGCCTGGTGCACCGGTTAATCCAGCTTTCATTCAGGCAACCCCTGGTGTTCAAATGGTAAAGGGTGGCGATAACCTTGGCCAGCAGTACAACACTCCATATTCTGTAAGTATTTTGCCCCATCATTAGTTCTTCAGTTCTGAAAGCTATGGTGTGTATAGATTAGGAACTCTCCTGGAAGTGCATTTGAATATGTTTACAATATAAAACATGATGGACGAAAACAACCTTGCTGGTCAGTCGTGCAGAAGACTGAAATTAGCGCCCCCCCCCCCCAAAATGCAAGGTATATAGTCCGATTACCAGAGTTTTAGCCAACTTTAGTAACCGAGAAAAATGATATTTCAGGTGATCTTAGATAGGGTAGCGACATAATAATCGTGGGTCGAGGAATCATCAAGGCAGCAAACCCTGCCGAGGCAGCTCGCGAATACCGCCTTCAAGGATGGGAGGCATACATGGCAAAATGCACTTAGAGGATGTTGCATCCTAAATGTGTTGGTTTGAAAGTAATTACATTTCCCTAATAAGATAGGGAGCCAAATTTTGTTGAATCTATGAATTTGCATGTTTGGCTCGTTATATTTGTAATCGATGATGAGGGAGATCTTCTAGGATCCGATAACTGTTTTAATCCTTGTTGGCTGAGGCTATGCATTTTCCTTTTTGTTTGCCCACTATAATTATAACATTTCAAGGAAACCCCACATGGACCACCTCGTGAACTCATTTACTGCGACCATCAACTACATTATTGTTGGTTAATGGTTACCCATGGCTACTCTCACTGACCAAGTCAAAAAGAATAACAAAACGAAAGATAAAGTTTAATTGTTAAGTTTTCCGTCACCCACATCGACGGTCACCTACATGAATGACTGTTAACCTCTTGACCGATTTTTTACTTTTGAAATTTCAGTGGAAAAAATGAAATTTACTCAAATATTAGTGACTATTTACGGAATTTATCTTTTTTAATTTTAAAATTATTAATAATCTAAAAAGTATTTATTGTGAATAATAGGAACACATTGAGCAATTTCGGTTGTAAAAGAGAACATTGTTTTCTTTAAAGATTTGAGTTCGAGTAATTGTGATTACGGTGTGTGCACTTGCTTTCATTATTAATTAACTAAGAAATTAATAAAATTGTAAATGTATATTATTTTATACCGTAAAGGGTGAAAAAACTTTGGTTTTGGGATAGAATTTGATTCCAAACCCGGTGGTTATAAACTCTAAGGACATCGGCATCATCAAGTTTTAGTGCATGCTGAAATGTACTCAATAACCTATTTGGGAGATGAATCATTGGTTGAGCCCCAAAGTGTAATATTCTGAGGTAGCGGACGTGATTCTCATGTTCGTGGATGGACCAAAGTGGGGCGGTGCCCTTCAAATTTTAAAATTATTATATATTTAAAATCTTATATATATGTCCTTGCGTTAATGGACGTCTGGTGTCGTGCCAGTATGTTGTAAAGTTGTTAAATTTGGTTTTATAAAGATCAATTTGTAATTTAATCGGATAGTGAAATTTGTCTTCACACTTGTTATTAATGACATCTTTCACGATTTAATTAGAGGATTACATTTATTGAACTAAATTAATAGAATTTAGGGTAAATTACGAATTTGATGACTAAATTTTACTCTCTTTCTTACGGTGTTGTTTTGGTGAATTTTTTTTTTTCTAAAATAGTGTCGTTTTAGCGCCGTTAACTATTTAACAACTGAGTGACCAAAAAAACCCAATGTATTAAGTTCAGTGAGGAAATTGAAAACTTTTAAAATTCAATGAACAAAATAGGAGAGAGGGTAAAGTTTAGTGATGAAAATTGTAATTTACCCTAGAATTTTGCATGGACTAAATGTGTAATTATACTAATTTTTTTACTGTCACATCATTTTTTCCGTTAAATAATAAAATGATCTAATTGACAAAATTAAAAAAATAGTGGTCAAATTAAAACCCGCTCATAGTTAAATGATCATGGGTGTAGTTTACCCTTAATTTTATTAGTAGATTGTAAAGATTTTAAGAGAAAAAAAAGCAAAAACATAATGGAATTTCATGACAGATAACCACTAATTCAAATACCAAAGAAGTGCTGAAAATTCCATTCTCAAATATACACAATCAACCATTATTTTAACAATACAATCAAATCATTTACACATACTCTCTATATTGTTCGTTCTATGGTAAGAAAAATGGCTGCAATTTAAGCCATGGACATGTTAGAAAGCCTGCTCGGTGTTGGCCTGAAGTTCCACCACCGAAGTGTCATCTTCCGGTTGGGTGGAGTTATTGCCCTCCTTATTATCTCCTTGTTACCACCGTTTCTCCTCATGTTCTGCCTCGGCAACATGTAACCATGCCTGCTACAGGGTGCCGAACCCGGTTGGCTCAAACATGTACACCGTCGGGAATTTCTGAAAGAAGACGACGACGACGTCATGTAATTTCGCCGATGACTCCAATTCTCCTCCGCCACACCTCCGGCCATTCCCGGAATTCTTTCTAAACCTTGTGTAGTTTGTTTCTCAGAGGTGGTCAACTGCATATTGCGGAATTTGAGAGATTGTAATTAAGATGAATCAGTCATTTTGATTTGGTGAAGCTTATATAGATGCCATTTTCTTTGACTTTGTATTTCCTGGAAGGCTGTTTCTTTTGAGTTCTTAGAAATGGGGTTGGGAGACTTTGACCCAGTTGTTTTGAGCATCGGTGATCATCATCATAATGGCCGTAAACCTTTGACTGCTGATTTTTATTTTCTTTAGGGGAGCTATCAAACTCACCAGTAAGATCGACGTGTGCTTGATTAGATTTTAGACTTCTTTTTAGAAAACTTTAGGTCAAAAGGCATCAAAGGTCCCTACATATATATATTTTTTAAAAATTAATATGACCCTCGTATTATTTTTTTCTTCTTAATGTGACCCTCTAACTCAGAAAATAAGCTTAATGTGATCCTTTTACCAACGTTTTTTTGTCGTTAACTGTTACAGTGTTGACGTGTCAATTCACAATGCAGACATGGCGGTTCACAGTGGTTGATAACGTGACAGATAACATGTCAAATGGGCTAAATTGGTAACTAAAACATGGCAGATTGACTGTCATGCCAAAGCGACGAACCGCCATGTCAACACTATAGACTGCCACGTCAGCACCGCAAGCTTCCACGCCAGCATCGTAACGATCATTTGATGAAAAGCGTTGTTCAAAGGGTTACATTGAGATTGTTTTCTGAGTTAAAAGGTAACATTGAGAGAGAAAAATAATATAAGTGACACATTAATTTTTTTCAAAAGTACATGGACTAAGGATGTTTTTTCACCAAAAGTTTATTATATACCATCAGCGACCACTAACAATGCTAGTGTTGGAAGCTTGCCGATTCCACACCAAATATCTGGTCTAAATAACCCTTGTAAGAAAATGGCACGATAGGAATTCTGAGGACGATTATATCAATTAAACTGGTCAATTTGACAACTTCTAGGTCTGATTAATTTAAGTTTAAATTTTGTATTATAGGTTTTGGTTGGATTACTTCTATTCGAATATAATTTTATATTTTCAATTATACAAATGGTAGTTCGACCATATGATGTTATTTTATTGAGTCCCCCGACCATCAAAATTTAAAATTGTCACCTAACTATTCACTATGTTTCAAATTCATCATTTTTCGTTAAAAATTTGACGACAATCTAAGTTGAATGTTAATATGTTTTTTGACATATGATAAAATTTGATATCTGAATATCAAACGACTGTCATATCTAAGACATTAAACTAACATCCAGCTCACACTGTCGTTAATTGCTTAACTAAAAAGGACGAGTTTGGAATATAATGAATAGTCGGCGATCAGTTTGTATATTTTAATAGTCTAGAAATTCAACAAAACAACATCCTATAATTAAAAGATCATTTTATAAATTTTAATAATCGATATAATTAATAAACTAGTATCCTATTCATATTCAAGTATATTGTTGAACAATGGTGCCAAAAAAGGGGCCATGAACTACCTATGGTTAGAATTTAGTTCAGAATCTCCATTGTCCAACTCCAACTCCAACTCCCAGGCCATATATACATTAGGAGTGAGTTTGGTTCACATAATGTAAGATTACCAGTGGGAATAAAAAATTACCAGGGAATAGGATTACCAGGAATGTTGTATTTTGTGTTTGGTTGGTTTAGCAGGAATGTAAGATTACCGTGTTTGGTTAAAAGAATAAAAACTTATTAGAATGTATATTTTACCAAATTGTCCTTATTATATATTTGTTTTTTTAACAAGTTAGAAAATATTTATATATTTTCTTTAAAAAATTTAAATTCATAAAATTTATATATATATTTTTTACAAAATTGAAAATATAAAAAGGTTTAATGAAAGGGTAAAATTTTATTTTAACCCCTAAACTTTATAAAATTTTAATTATAGTCTTTTTTTGTAAATCTAAAATAGTTTAAGGATAAATTTATAATTTAACATTCGTAGAATTTTTATTATTCAATTACAGAATAAGGATATTTTTTTTAAAAAAAATTAAGGGCATTTTAGTCCAAAATGCCAGTAATCCAATAATACCTTAGGAAAGAGAGGTAATGACATTCCCGGTAATATACCCAAAAATCTACTATTGGTAATGTAAGATTACCGGGAATGACATTCCCGACCAACCAAACGAGGGAATGTAGATTTCATTCCCATGAGAATCTCACATTCCCCCAACCAAACACACCCTAAAGGTCTAGATTAACACCTTTGAAACAAGTTCCAATATTATTTTTTAAAAGTATATAACGATAAGAATATAACATCCGTTCAATTTTTTTTAATTTATTGATAATGTGAAATACCCTTTAATAAAATTATTTAAATTTTATAAAAAAAACAACATTGCCTTTTATCATTGAACATGTTCAATATATTTATCAAGTACCATTATCTAATTAACATAATTATTCAAATTAAGTTCTTGATACTAATAATTCAATGATTTAAACAAACTCGGGATTCAAGCTATTCATTGTCGGTAAATATATTGTTACAAAATAAAACATTAAGAATGACTATAACAAATAAATCAAAGAAATAAGTTAAGTTTATTATTATACTATGTAAAAATCATTAATTCATCTCGATCGATGTGATCATAAAATAGATGTTATTCTAGTTGACATAATATTTATATGTCCGTATACTATATTGAAAACAACATCATTTAAAAAAAATCACCAAAACGATGTCCTTTTAAATTTATACAACAACTCATTTTAATGTCGTTAACTATTTAACAACCCAACGACAAAAAAAAAACTCAATATATTAAGTTCGGTGAGAAAATTGAAAAGATTTAAAGTATAATGAGTGAAATAAGAGAGAGAGTAAAGTTTAATTATCAAATTTATAATTGACCCTATTATTTGAGATATGGATGAATTCACACACCGAAATACTCATCAATACTCATTCATCTGATACACCAAACACGCCACTAACTAAATTGCTTTTATTGAATAAATATTAGAAAGTATAAGCACTACTCCATGATTAATCCACTAATTTTGTAGTTACTAAACTATGTTAAAAAATCTTTTTAGATATTAAACTTACAAAAAATTATATAGTAGATATTAAAATTTAGTTTCTTTATAAAATAAAAATAATATCTTTAACCGTCACTAAAGAGATGAAGTGACATATTAAATTAATAAATAATTTCATTTGCTTCTTCAATTGTAAACAGAATTTTATTTTTTTATAATTTTCAATATTTTTAAATTATAATTCTAAAAAGTATTATATTATATTATTTTTAAATTATATATCTTTATAAATTATAAATTTTTGAATTCATTAATTTATTTTATAAATAGTTCTTATTTAGTTATGATTAAAATTGTATAATTTATAATTTATATTTTTTGAGAGGCAACAATTTTAATTACCAGAATTAAGCAATGTGATTCAATTATTTAAATTTTATTACTAAGTTTAGATATAATTTAAAAATATGTTTATAATTTTAAAAATAAATTATAAAATTAAGCATTGTAAAAAATAGAATTCTTCTACATTCTTACTTAAAAATTAAAAATATATCAAAATAAAATTCTATCCACAATTTGAGGGAGATATTTTTTATTAATTTAATTGTCACATCAGTCATTAATGATAGTTAATGATTAGTTATTATATTTTTAACAAAATTTAAAATTTAATACTTATTTTATAAATTTTAAAAAGAATGAATAAAAAGATCATTTTATTATAGTCTAATGATCATTTATAATTTTATTTTATTTTAATTCAGTTAGTGATGTGTTTGTGTTGTTCTAAAGATGTGTTTCGTGTGCGACATTTATTGTAGTTATTTCTTTGAGATTCAAACTTATCTAATAGAAAAATGTATTGATAAAACATTTTATCTTTCAAAATACATTGATAAAAATAATAAAAACACAAACACGAATTAGATTAGACATGCAACAATGATAAAACACGTATACATTCATTATTTTCATTTATTCAATGAACGTAAATTTAAAAGGTATGTGATAATGTAAGCATGATAATAACGAATATAAAATAATTTCAGTTTCATAACTTTTTTTAAAAGAGGGAATATATTTGCTTTAGATGATGATCATGAGTATTGTTTCTTCATAAATGGTACATTATCAACGTTCATGATTCAACCATTTTTTTTTCTTTTGCAAAGACAAACGTCTTTTATGAGTGAAATCTTAGTTACTCGAACGAGTTTACAAGTTAAAGGCACCTTTTCGATTTAAAATTTAGGATAAATTATGTATTTAGTCATCCAATTATTATCGTGCTTATGTTTTAGTCACCTAACTATTTTTATTCAAAATCATAACTAAAATTATGTTTTGATCTCCAACCATTAAAAAATAAACATAAGTACCGACATGACAATTTTTTTTTTTACTTTTTCAAAGATGATGTCCATCACTGTCAAGTTTTTAACGTCGGTTGACTAAAACGAAATCAAAACGTAACTTTTAGTATGACTTTGAAAAAAAATAGTCGGGATGACCAAAACAGAACTACGTAACTTTTAGCATGATCTTACCTTATGATGACACATCAACATCACTGTTAAGTTTTTAACAGCGGTCGACCAAAACGAAATCAAAACGTAACTTTCAGTATGACTTTGAAAGGAAAATAGTCGGGACGACCAAAACAGAACTACGAGATTAGTTGGGTGACTGAATACCTAGTTTACCCTAAAATCTATATATTTAAAGAAGATTTATAGGGTTTTAATTATGTGATAGCGTTGTCCACAAATTAAGATGATAACCCATTTCATCGGTTCTCCAATATGCATTCCAAAATTACTCACTAATGAATATGAAATTTAATAAAGTTGTTCTGTACGCTTACCTTAGAAAGGAATGCAATTAAAGGGCTTTTAATTTGTGTGGTTTTAAGATAATGATTCCATTTGATGATAGTGAAACGGTCCCATATTCTCTTTGAGCCAAAAGAGAAACTAAGAAAGTTCA